AGAAGTTTAATCACCCACCTACATCACGTTTAAAACTAACAATACAAATCGATAGTTCCAGTGTTAAATCTCCATCGCAGTATCGTAATGTCCATAATCTGGAAACTAGAACCCATAAATTAATCCTAAATTCACCACGATCGATATCCCTATGTAACCTCTTTCCTCGAAGTTTCATCAATACAATTTGTCACTGTCTCCAGACGAGAGTGCTTTTAAATTAACAATGGCGTTCGTGTCCAGCAAATTCATCCATAACATTGGTTCCTGTCCGTAACAACCTGGTGGACTTGATCTGGCAGGTCGATCGACCGAATTACAATCCGCATCCGGCGTATCCGTTGAAGGAGAACGGAAGAACCTGGGAAGACAAGGTCCAGTCGATCCGGATCGAAATGGAGGTCCTTAAGGCTGACGCGCTCGTTCTCACAGCCCTCGATGAGATAGCCTGGGTGTTCAATATTCGAGGATACGATCTACCGCACACACCTGTTCTAAGGGCGTATGCCATCATTACTTACGGATCGATACACCTGTATACACCGCGACAAAAGATTTTCCGATCGGTAGAGGAACACTTAAAAATGGACCTCTGCTCCCACGCAAATTGCGTGAAGTGAGTTATGACAATTTATTTATTTATTTATTTATTTATTCGTAAACGAGCAAATACCTCTTGTTTAGATACTTATATGTAGTTAACACAGAAGGAATTCAAAGTCGCTCAGAAGACAGATATCTTTCGAAGATATTATTAGGTTCAGAAAATAATTTTCCAATTTACTTAACAACTAAATAGTTTCGAAATGCGCAATTTGTTTCTACGCTTTATCAAATTTTACGATTGACCTTAACGTAATTCATAATTTTACGATATACAGCGTACGAGCTGCATATATATATATATATCAACATTGTTGCAGATGGCATAATTACACGTCCATTTGGTACGATTTACGCACAATGTCTCAAGCTTGGAATCTAGTATGGCTGCCAACAGGCTGCGACTACAGTCCAGGTGCCTCAATGGAAATATATAATTCTGTACGTATAAATTTCGTCGTTTAACTGTCCCGAAAATCTATCAAACTGTCTTTCCGAGATAATACTCGCTGAGCTGTCAAATACGAAACAGAAGATGAACGACATTTAGGTAGGACTACCGCAAACGACTTACAAAGTAAGATCAGCATCTTTATTTCGAAATCGGTAAAGTAGTTAAAGTTAGGCCACGAAAATTAATGTATACAATGTTAGGTCTGTTCTATATCTCGTCCGCGAAACCACCTCTTCGTTCCCGCCATTTTATCGAGCACGCTGAGGTTCAACTATACGCGCATTAGAGCGGATAATCCTAGGCAAAAGTACACCTTCTCCAACATGTTCTCCTATCCCCATGGAGCTTGTTGAGCTTAGCTTGATCCCCACATGACGAGCTGACACACCTCCATAGACGTAGTCTAGACACGAACGGTTCTCCCTCGTCCAATGTAAACACGTCGTTCTGATTATTGCACATCACAGAGTCATAGACGTTGCCGCGGGTGAATAAGTAGATAGAATAAAATGGTGTAACGCGTTCTCCACGAAGCTCATGGTGATGCACGGTTTCACCTTCTATTCGACATGGTAGCCGGTGCTTCGGGACGCCTGGACGCCCGCGGCATCAGAAATCAGGGAGCAGTTTCCTTCCAGTCTGTACGATCGATCATGCGATAGTGTTTAATAATTAGACGATTAAGCGTTAGATATGGCTAGAATTTTTCTATGATTTCTATACGAGAGACGGTCGATGATAGCACTGAAAGGACTGGACAATAGTGTAAATAGACGAAACGATGGCGAATAGCGTAGAGAAAATAAGAAAGGCTAATAAATGTGGGTTAAGATTAAAATAGGTATTCGGTGCAATGAACGTACGACGTGTAACAAAGAGCACGTGAACCAACGCTTATTTTTAGGTCGGGAAGCTGAAGTGAATAAATATCGAAATATAAGAAACAGTTCGCCAGTGGAGTATCGCAAAGATTATTTATTATTTGGAGTCAGCAGATAAATCTTAATTTATAGTTAAATTCTAAGTTTAGTACATTCAGCTTGGAACTCAAGTCGATTCGAATCAGTGAAACAGTCAGGATATGTATTTATTCGTTTCGACTTTGATATTAATTATGAAAAATGATATTCGCTAGTTACCAATACGATTAAGTGACTTTATTACGACACCGCCTTTCCTCGACTTCTTGTATAATAAATATATTCGGTTAAGGAAAAGGGAAAAGTCACGATATACGCGAGTTAATTAATTTTATTGTAACTTTATTCTACGATTGCGTTCCGAGTAGCCAGAAATTGCCACGACTAAGCTGAAACATCCTCGCAGATCCCACCAGAGAAACGATTGCCGGAACCATCGCCCGTGCTAAGGATGCGAGCACAAAAGAACGAGATCGAGGCGAAAGGGATGAGAAAATCCCATTTAAGAGACGCAGTGGCGATGTGTGATTTCCACGCGATTCTTAATCTATAAAGAGGATCGAGAGTTTTGGCTAACCCGGGTTAAGTTTACCTCCGTATCAGGGCAAACTGATTATAATTTCGAAAAGAACGACATTTGAATGGAATAAAAATTGACGAACTCGCATAGAGACGTTAGAAGAGATAGGATAGGCAATTAATAACCGCAAAATTCGTATTGAAATGTAGCTAAAGGGAAAACATGGAAAACACTGCGAATGTTATTTTCAATTCGCACAGAATCGTTCTCTTTAAAAGAACGATGTAATTTGTAAGGGAGAATATGCATGAATAGAAATTTCGAAATGCAATTTCGATTGCCACGAAAGTAATCTTATTTGTCTTGATATATTTCGATTTTACTGAACGTTTTCAATATCTTTTCCGCGATGTTTCTGTAACAGATGGGACGACCGATGTCACAAGAACGTTGCATTTCGGTACACCGACGGAAGAACAGAAGAAAGCGTACACGAGAGTGTTAATTGGAGCAATACAATTATCTTCTTTGATTTTTCCAAGCAGTTTAAAGACCAATCAACTAGACGTTGTTGCAAGAACACCGTTATGGAACATCGGTTACGACTATTTACACGGAACTGGTCACGGAATTGGTCACTTCCTGTCTGTCCACGAATGTTTGTCTCATTAGTTTGGAAAAATTAATATATTACATGCTACTATTACATATAGTCAATTAATAATGCGATTTATGATCTTCTCGTTCATGTTATTTTAATTACGAATTTTCCATTCGGTCAATGAGTATTTTCAACAATTTTAAGAAATGTTAATCACTACGGAAAAAAGCATTACACTTCGAGAGTTAAAATGGATACAATTGTATTATTAAGTATGATAAATCGTCAGAATTCGAGAAATTAGTTGCGATTAGTCTTGTGGCATTTTTCAAGCAGTTACTCGTTAGTAAATAATATTAATCGTCTTGTTCGTGTTTTCAGCACCTATCGGTGTATCATATTCCGAAGTTGCAACATCAGATAAAGTTTGTGGACCTGTTGAGTTAAAACCAGGATTTTTTTTGTCCAATGAACCAGGTTACTATAAAGAAGGTGATTTTGGAGTACGACTTGAAAATATTCTTGAAACGTTGGAAGCAGATAAATCAGTAACTATTTGAATTGAAATTATCAACAATGCTAAGGAATTCTCATTAAAAATGTATCTTTCTTTTAGAAAAACGCAGAAATGTTTTTAAAATTCAGGGATGTCACACTAGTTCCGTATGAACCAAAATTAATCGACATCGGTATGTTAAATCCATCTCACGTAAGTTTCTTTAAATAATTACTTCAAAAAATAATTGAAAAACTTATTAAATAATGACATTTATTCAACAACGATTATTAAACATCATTTTTTAATAATTCTACAGATACGATGGCTAAATAATTATAATCGTCGAATTCGAGACGAAGTGGGTCCAGAGTTAAAAAAAAGATTGAAAATGGATGCATTCAATTGGATGTTAAAGAAAACTGCAACCATTCCAGAAAAAAGTCCAGTCGATGAAGGTTTGCTTTTCAGCAAGTCTCGTTCGACACCTCGTACATTTAAACAATTCCACATATTAATCTATCTTATTTTCTTGTATCATATTTCATTCAGTAAGTATACAAAAAAGACAAATTTTATTAAAAATAAAGAAGCTTTATTCTTCTTCAATTTCTTTTCGTATTCTAGGTCTCCCAGATTTATGGAGTTAATTTAGGACTCAGAAGAGTAGTTAAACGAATACAGTATGATTTAAATATGATTTTCACACAAAACTATTTCATAAATTGTTAACATTATTATTTTTGTCTATTCCTGCCAATTCTAGATACAGATTTTAGGATCATAGAATAACTGGTATAATAATATTATTGAAAAACAAAAATCATTAAAGGAAGACCATAAATTGTACACAGGAAGAATCTAGTATATAAGTATAAAAGTATTTATAAAATTGTACTTTGTAAATATATATAATTTATTGTATGTATAAAAAATAGAAACATTTGCATGCATTTTATTTTTATTATTAGTAAACAAGAAATTTTTCAGAAATAAATTTCAATTACTTTAAACTGTAAGTGAATTTTTTTTTAAATTATTAATGATAATGTTCTTTAATTACAATGAAATCTGTATTTATTTTCCAAGTAATGTTTCCTTTGATTCTATTATATCAAAACGAAAGAATTTAGCTAATATTGTACAGAGAAATAATAGCTAATAATATAACTAATATAGCTAATAATTAACCAAATAATATAATACTTAAGAAGGTGTTTATATATCTAAATAATTATTAAATTTTTGGTAACTTTTTATCATGATATATTAAATATTAATACAAGACCAATCAAATGAGAGTGATTAATATTTTCAATGAAATATTATTTATTTATATTATCTACATAGTTTTATCTTGTTAATTATATTCTACAAAGTATTATATTTTTTTCTAAATTTTTTGTTTAATTTTTCTTTTCTTCTTCTTTATAAATTAACTTTAATTGATCGGCTTCCTTACTTTTTATTAAATGAAACAATTTAAAATTCATTATAATATTTTCTGAAACAAATTAATATAACATTTAGACATTTATAATATATAATTATCTTATATTTTTATTATTCAATTATTTTTATTTTTAAATTTAAATATAAAAAGTAAATATAAGATATATGTTTATAAACAGATTAAAATAAATATAACTTCTAGGATAATTTAATAAATATAATGTAAATAATGTAAATTTACTTTAAGGATATTATATTATCATTTTTATTCTAAATGTATATACTCACCAACTATTTGTTTATCTAGTTTATATATTTCAGATATTTTTTCTACAGAATATTCAGTTGGATTTTCCGAATGCATACTGATAAAATGCATTACATTTTGTAAAGTGCATTTATCGTCAGTAACCATAAGTGTTTCACAATACTCATTATTGTTTAAGGGGGATCCATTACTATCTTGTGGTAATGATTCTGCTGAAATCATTTCTTCTTTAGGTGTACTCTAAGAGTAAAAAGAAAATTGGCTCATTTCAATACTTATAAGCATAAAATTATATCAATAAAAAACAAATATACCTTCAGATCTATAGACTGAACATAAACATTCTTTAAATATTCATGTAATTGAGGATCCTTTTGATAGTGAACCTTCATAAAATCAGGTTTTACTAAAACAAAATACATAGTATTATTAAATATTAAAAAATGTTATAATTTATTAATACTTTTAACTAAAAATTAAATCAAAGCTCAAATATAATACTGTCACATACTTTATAACCTTAAAAATTATAATTGAATACTTGTTATTGTTTTACTTTTGACCTTAACTAGAATATTGAAATAATCGTTTTAATGAAGAATATTTGTATTTCACAAAACAGAATTAGAAATATCCCAAAACAAGCTTACCTTTATTTACAATTTCTATTTGCTTCTTTACTGATGGATATTGAGGAGAAGGTGTTGGTTTCTCTTTTGAAATAACACGTTCTGCGCGATTTTCAATATTAAATGTACGAATTGGTCGCAAAAGAAGAGAGTACACTTTTCCCATTTTATTATTTCCTAGCACAATAAAAATGAAAACTTAATAAATACCTCTAAAAGTATAATTTGAATTACATTTTGTTTTCCATTATAGAAAATTGAAATTATTATCTATTATAAAAACTGTATTCTACATACTGATGCTGATTATATGATTAACATTACTAAACTTAAACTCAATACCGTCACCTCAATATGATAATATCACTTTATTAAACTAAAGCCCACATTTTAATTATTAAATTGTACAAGAAAATATTTATTTTATATTATAAAAATATTATTAAAATCAAACACTTAAAAATTGTTCCAAACACGTTATTCTCGTAATCACATGAATTATAAAAGTAGTAATATACTGTTCAAATAACCCAAATTTAAATAAAAACTTTTTATTACTGAAATATGTTTTGTATTCTTTAAATTTTAATTGATGACAAACATTCATCATGTCTTTTAAATAAATAAAATTTACAAACATTAATATTACACATTTTACACATTTTGCAATAAAAGAAAATATTTTTAGGAAAATTTATAAAACCCTAAATGCAATTGGTGAAAATGAAAACTTAGAAATTTTATTAATATGTTAGGACACTCTGAGAAAGAATTATCGTATAATTTAATTTTTGTTTAATCATTCATAATTTAATAATATCTTATTCATATATTAACTATAAAGTAAAAAGTAAAACATAATTTTAGAAATGCTTACTAGATATTCAATCAAAAGACAAATTCGGAGATCAAAATTTTGTAGATTTACGAATACAATCACGCGCCATTAGTGGAGGGAGTTTCAGAACGTCCAGTAAAATTAGTTGAAGGTTCTTGGGAAGACGCGCTGAAAAGAAAAGTACCGTATGTGTCAACAATTTTATAATACAACAGCTGAATGTGATAATTCTTATAAAATATGAAAATAATAGTTTAACATTTATCTATAACCCACCATCATAATAGTTCTCGTGCGGAAATAAATAGAACATACTACGTATTCAACAGCTTACGCGTAACCGCCAAAATTATAGACAGAAACGCCATCTTGTGCAAAGATGTTGACATTTTACTAAATTAAGAAAAATTACATGATTCCTATTTATTCGAGTCCAACGACTCGATTTGAAGATTTATAAATGATAAAAATGCTAACTTCATATATTAATTGACACATCAACCAGTTTTATTATTATAAGGTGATAATTATATTATTAACAAAAAATCATGTTAACGAAGTAGCTCGTGCTTAGCTTTGTGTTTACAAACATAACACTTTGAACCTTTTTAACGAATTTTATTAATGTGATACTAATTTATTTTCAGAAGTGCATATAACAGAAATTAAAAATGTTTTACGCACATTTCGTATTGGCCAAGAAGGGCCCATTAGCACGTATATGGTTAGCTGCTCATTGGGATAAAAAATTAACAAAAGCGCACGTATTTGAAACAAATATTGAAAAATCAGTAGATGGTATATTACAGCCGAAGGTACTTATAAAATTCACGTATTTTATGTTTATTTCTTATTTCTATTAATATATATAAATTCATATATTTTTTAACTCTCTTGTGACTTAAAACATACATACCTTTAAATTTTTAATTAATATCTTGAATATATACATTTAGAGAAATCTTTTTTATATAATCTTATCTCGTAGAAAAGAATATTTTTCTATTGTAATATTTTATTTATACTAATCATCTTGGAAATTTTAATAATAAAAGTGGTTTTTTTTATATTATACTTAGCAATTATATTTTTGTAATTATATAAGTTAGAAACGTACGATTATTATATATATATAATTTTCTATGAAAAAACATTTTAATATATCTATTAAACATTGTATATGATTCCTTTTTTTATTTCATTATATTAATATAGGTAAAAATGGCTTTAAGAACATCTGGACATTTATTATTGGGGGTAGTACGAATATATTCAAGAAAGGCTAAGTATCTTTTAGCAGACTGTAATGAAGCTTTCGTTAAAATAAAAATGGCCTTTAGGCCTGGTATGGTAGATTTACCCGAAGAGCACAGAGAAGCTGCTGTAACAGCAATAACATTACCTGAAGTATTTCATGATTTTGATACAGCAATGCCAGAATTAAAGTAAATAGATAAAAATTAAATAAACTTTGTGATCTAATTTGTTTTATATACATTGTTATTTTATACTAATATTTTATTATAGAGATGTTGACATTGAAGCACAATTTAGTTTAAATCAGTCACGAGCAGAAGAAATCACAATGAGAGAAGATTATGGTAGTTTAGCTTTAGTTACACATGATCAAGGATTTGGTGATATGAGTTTTGATGCAGAGCCTCCAGATTTATTGAGACATGCTGGTACCGTAGAACCATCATTAGACCAAGTATGTTTTTATTGCCAATGTTTTGTCCAGATATATATTAAAATTGCTTATGAAAAATAAAATCAATGTTAATTTTTTAGACTCATATGTTGTTTACCGATGGACCGGGAATTGAAGCTGCTTTAGAACAAAAAGAAAAAGAACCAGTGCCAGGTCCATCAGTAACAGCACAAGCTATGGATATAGATATGCCAATTAGAGATGATGGTTTTGGTGGTCATCTTGGACAAGATATAATATGTAAGCAATCTAAATTAATACAAATGGAAAGATAATGATATTTAGTAAACAATTTTCAATATACATTATTCTATTATCATTAAATATATATCACTTTTACTTTTCGTTATTTAGCTGGTGGTTTGTTCGAGGGTGGTTTATTTGATGAAGCACCAATGGGTGAAGTACCTGTACCTGAAGTTAGTGCGGTTACAGAAGCACAAGAACCAGGTGTAGTTCCTGGAGGTCCACCATCGGTCCATGATGAATCTGAAGAAGAAATGGGAGAACGTTTTGGAGGTCCACCATCTCCCATGGGTGGAATGAGGTAATGAATGATTATGCAAATAAATTTTAAGATAAATTTTATATTACATATGAAACTTATATTACACAAATTTATATGTATCATATAAATTAAATATAATATTTTTCGTGTAGTACTGATGAATCTAGACCCGTTTCTCCAGCTGCACCTGGTGAAGAACTTGAGGGTAGAATAAGTGTTGCAAGTCGTCGTTTCACTCCTGCTCCACCAACTATTCCTGAAGAACGTCCAATGGAAGCTATTGAAGAAGCTCCGCCTCTACAGGATCAAACTACATTGTTACATGATGAAGAAGAAAGCTTTGCTCTTGCACCAGTTGATGCATCTGCTTTGAAAGGTTGATTATATTATAAATTGTATAATTTTTGTTGTTATAATATAACTTAAATAATATTAATAGGATTTACAAAAGCAAAACGCAAGCGTAAGCTCATTGTGGATGAAGTAAAAAATATTTCTGGTGAAGAAATGAAAGCACAATTATCAGATACTAGTGATATTATTACAACATTGGATTTGGCACCACCCACTAAAAGATTAATGCATTGGAAAGAAACTGGTGGAGTTGAAAAATTGTTTGCTTTACCAGGGAGACCAATACCAGCACGTGTATTATTTAAGGTAAGTTAAAGGTTTATTACTTATAATACATACTTAAAAAGTATATATCTCTCAGTATACAAAAATATAATTTAGTAAAAAATAATGCTTTATTTTTTAACAATATAGAATTATCAACGACATTTAACTAGTAAGTCTTATGATCATGAGGACTTCGGGCGTTTAGTAGGAGAAGAAGAAGGTATGTCTTTAGAACAAATGAGAGAACCTGCAGAACCTGATGCATATGAACAAAGTATCCTTAGTAAACGCATGGCTCGTAAACGGAAAGCACCAGCAGATGAAGAGGTAGGTTTGCTGATGTTGATGAAGAAGTTTCCCTTCCTTCTTTCCTTTCTTTCTTAATTATTATTGATCAAATTTTACGAACAGTTGTAAAAATCTTTGTTGACATATTCTATTTTCATTTTTAGACAAGGCCACCACCTCCAGCACCAGCACCTCCTTCAATAGAAGTTGCTCCTGAAGCAGTGGACGTTCCTAACACAATTCCACAACCAAGTCTTCCCTCTGCAGAATCACCAATACCTCCACCTGAAGTATCTTTACCAACAGAATCGGTATCCGAAATTAGTAGCATAGTGCCTTCTGTTGAAGAAGCAGAAATGGTTCCTGTACCTCCTGAAGCACCTTTACTGCCTTCAGAAATCCCTGAAATTCCTCCTACTGAAGCTATTATTACATCTGAAGAACCAGTTGTTCCATCTGCTCCAGTAGAACCAGAAATTACGCCTACACCACCCGTTGAAATGCCTCAGATGGAAAATATGGGCTATGATCAGGTAATTTTTATTTTTTGTATATACAAATATATAGTACTACTCTTTTATAAGTAATAATGGATTTATATATATATGTACACGTGTGTGTGCGTGTGTGTGTATAATAGACACAACCTCAAGTACCCTATATTGGGTATGATGAACATCCTCCACCACCTCACACACCTGCTGTATCAGAAAGAGGACCAGCAACACCATGGAATCATGAAGATTATGAATTCCCTCCATCTGTAGGACCTGTATGTTTAAAAATCATTTATGTTAAAATATAGGTTCAACGAAACAGATATATAGTATAATTCTCCTATTTTTACAGCAAGAAGAACAACAATTAGACGAAACTTATGAACAATTTGAAGAACGAGTTCTTAACAAAAGAGCATCACATATGTATCATGTCATTAAAAGTAAACTAGATACCAAAGATAGACTGACACTGTCGGAAATGGCATATAAAAATAATCGCAAGCAGGTTTGTATTTGAAAATGTAAATTAATAAAAATGATGTAACTTGTATTATCATAAATTATAAAATTAATTTGTTTTTTATCTATATTATGAATTAATTTTTAGGTTGCGCAAAAATTTTACACATTGTTAGTTCTGAAAAAATTTCAAGTATTAGAACTTAATCAAGAGTACCCATATGCTGAAATTGTAGTCAGTAAAGGACCAAAATTCGAGACCCCTGCATTATAAAAATATTGGGTATTTCTTATCTTACATTTATTGTTAAAAATGACGGAAAAAGAGGATTATAGCTATTTTTAACCGTACATAAAATAAGCGATTTATCTAAATTCTTTTGAAAGATAAATTGTAAAATAATATATAAATCTATTGTAACTTGGAATATCTGCGTAAGATAAAAGAATTTTGTAAATCATGTTTTAAACTCCTGATTAAGGAATGTATACGTTTTGTATAAACCAGAGCAAAATTATTTTGGACCATCTGCATTTTTATTGTGATAAAAAAAATTCAATTAAAAGTATGCAAACTTACTATTAATAAAAATGTATGTTTTACATTGGCAAGAAATCAATTGTCTTCATTAAATTCATTATCGATCCGAACAGGGTTTGTATATAATATTAATACGTAGTAAAAATATATTTTATATCTTAATATTTACAAGGAATTTCTTGAGTCTATATTGCAGGATGGTCCAAAATTACTAATAATTGTACAAGATAATTTATGAAATTTGATAAAGAAGATTTTGTTAAAAATGTCATGAAATGAGATTATGTATGGCTTAAATCTATGTATTATTCTCAAATTTTTCACATTTAAAAATATTGAAAAAGGTTACAATGATTCTTTTCTTTTTTTTTCTCTCTTTTTCTCTGTTTATTAGTGTACTTACACATTATTTGCTATTGTAAACAATTATTAATGGAAGAATCAAGGGAATGTTTTATGGATAATGCTTTTATGTATTGCAATCATACTTTAGGATCAACATTGTGATTAAGTTATTTTCAGATTTATATAAATATTAATTACTATATTTTTGTGTACACTTTGCATAATCTGTATAGTTATTTTTTCATATAAATTACTACAAATTTACGACCCACTATAATTTATATTTACACTATGAATAACATTCCAAAGAGCATTGATTTAACAGTCACGCCTTTCTGTTTCACTTTTTTATAGCATAATTTCTTTATTATTCTTTCAAGAAACGTATTAATTATATAAAAAATTAAAAATTGTTTGATCCCTACTATTTTCTTAAAGAAAATAGTGTTATGATTTGTAATTTAATTATTCGACCATAAAGAATGTTCAATAATTTATTGTTATATATATGTATACCAGATTCATGGAATACAAGTGTTAAATGATATTTTAAAAAAGTGCTATATTTTATCAAATTGACATGTCAAAAATTTCTCAAAAACAATCATACAACATTGTAAATATACATACACAATAAACATAAACTCTCATTACACACGTAACGGCATTAAAAGTCACACAAAGATCGACTGCTATACCATCTATTTGAAATGCCTGATTGTAAATAGTTCCATAATTTACTAATCAATATACATCTGTTTATAAAATAAAAAAGAATTTCTGAAATATTTTCTTTAAAATTTGAACCCTAAAGTACATATCATATAATACTTAAAAATATTAATCCATTATTTTCCATTAATAAACTGTTACATATATCAAAATTTATTAAATTAATTAAAAAAACTAATATTAACGTTAAGCACTTTTTTCTTCAATGATACGCGCGACGTGTATATGTACACGTAATAAGACTATGTTTATGCATTAAATATTTTTTTATAGCAGGTGTATTCATTGTATTAAATATATTTAAAATTGTTACTTTAGGTTAAAAAATTTTCGTTCCAATACCCTTTGTATCTAGTTTTTTAAAAATTACAATTTAAATAACCAATGACATTATATTCAATACCTTAAAATTCCTGAATTTTTTAAATGTTATATATATTAAAAAGTTAATATAACAAATATCGCACACAATAATAGATCTCATTGATAGATCCAACAATAATAGGTCTCATTTTGCTTTAGTATGTTCTCGAATTATTATTAAAAGCATAAAGTATATGTACAACACTTTTATATGTAAAAGCTTTACTTTATTTATTATCAGCAAAATTCATTCATGAGAAAGCATGAAATCTAATACAAATTTAACATATGAATATTAATGTTAGATTGTAATGTTTTTTTTAATGCTAAGTTATGAAATAGTATTCATAATAAAAAAATAACTTAATTTTGCCAACAGAACAAATCATATTGAAAAAGAGATGGATAAATGCATTTTAAATTCTCTTCTAATTCTCTTCTAATTCTCCTGATTCCATTGCGTCGTGGTATGATTTATCCTTTGTACGTTCAGGATCTAGTTTAATCATATCATCGATTCTAAGAATGGTTATCGCTGCTTCGGTAGCAAATTTCAAAGATTTTATTTTTGAAATTGCTGGTTCCAATACACCAGCTTGTTTGTTATTTTTAATAGTACCTTCAAGTAAATCTAAACCAACCCTATAAAATAATATTAATGTGATATTTTATTTCCATTAAAATATGTAAAATATGTAGTACTTATTAAAAATCATTACCATTTTAGATCTGCAAGATCTACTTTTGTTTGACTGGAATTATGATAAGCACGTAGTTTAGCAACAAGATCAGTTGCATCCTGTGCGGCATTGACTGCTAACGTCTTCGGTATAACCAGTAATGATCTTGCAAATTCAGCAATAGCTAATTGTTCTCGAGAACTCTGAAAATTTAAATATTTAAGCATAAATAAAATTTAATCAAGTGTAACATCAGAAAGATATAAACTTACTAGTGATGTAGCAAAATTTTCCAAATATATTGAAAGTGCTGCTTCGACACAACCTCCTCCTGCAACCACACTTTTACTTTCTAAAACTCGTTTTACTGCACATAATGCATCGTGCACAGATCGCTCCATCTCATCACAATAATAATCATTTGGCCCTCGTAATATCATAGAACTTGCTGTCCTTGTTTTGGGTCTGTTACAGATAATATAAACTTAATGTTAAGAGTAATTGTCTTTACTCTTATACAAAAAATGGAAAAAACGAACCCCTTAATCAGAATAAGTTCATCATCACATATTACTTCTTGTACTACTTCTGCAGCTTCCCCAAGAAAACTACTATCAAAACTTTCTTCTCCTTCCATATTAGTTAAAGAAGTAAGAAATTGTGCACCTGTTGCTTTTGCAATTCTTTTCAAATCTGCCTTTTTGCATCTACGAACTGCCATTGCTTTAGCTTCTATAAAATACTAAACAAATATGAAAAATTATATGAATTGCCAATCTATAAATAAATAAATAAATAAATTTTTTATATAATATTATAATCTTTATATAACTTAAATATACCTTTAAACAGAGATCATCAATTCCGCCAGATACAAGAACGACATTTGTCCCTGCTGCAAGAATTTTTTGAATACGTTCTTTTGTAATATCTGCTTCCCGTTGTCGCACTGCTTCTAATTTTTCAGGATTTGTAATTAGTACCTCAACACCTAATTTCATTTTTGTCTTTTGCAAAGAAAAATCTAGACATGCAATCTTTGCATTCACTATTCTTTTAGACATGGCTTGAGAAGCTACAGTACAATTCAGTGCATAGCCCTGCACTAATATGGACTCTCTAACACTTTTTCCATGAGCTTTTAAAACATTAACTGCTTTCACAGGATATAGGAATCCTCCTTTTCCATCATTAACTTTTATTGCATTTGCAGCATCCACAACCATGTTACCAAAAAAGTCAGCATCACTATTAATTTCTTAAGGAAATAATGATAACAATAACGATATTAATATAAACAATAAAATGCATACATTATAACTTATATAACCAAATAGAAATAAGGATACGCTCCAATAATTTTACTGGACATAGAAGTTTTTGCTACATTAACTAAACAATCTCTTCCAAGCTCTTCTACCCCAACTGTTAAATGCTCTTGAATGTATTTACAGGCTTCCCTATAACATAAATGATATTTATATATATCAATTCTCTGCATTGCTTTAATTCATAACTTAAAAATACTTTTCAACTTTTTTAAATAATTTGACAATTACTTGCAAGCAAGTCTGTAACCACTAATTACAGATGTTGGATGAATCTTCTGTTTTACAAGTTCATCAGCATTTTTTAATAATTCAGCTGCAATTATTACCTATTTAAATAAAATTCTGTTAGAAATTTATTTAAATTTATTTAAATATAAAATATTAAATAAATAAACTTACAACTGATGTAGTTCCATCTCCAACTTCTTCATCTTGTAGTTGAGCTAATTCTACTAGAACTCTTGCAGCTGGATGTTCAACTTCAAGTAAACGTAAAATAGTTGCTCCATCATTAGTAACAGTAACATCCTAAATTAATGCAACATATAAGGTATGGATGCATGAAATAATATGATAGATTTTTATATAGGTATATCATTATATGATACGTTTATATTAATGTATAATATACTTCATAAAAATGTTTACATACACCAATGTCATCTACAAGCATTTTATCTAAGCCAACAGGACCCAGAGAACTCTTCACTATATTAGCAACTGCACAAGCAGCCATGACTAAAAAAAACAGAAAATAGAATAACTGTACTTGATACACAGGATTTATGTTATTTCAATAAAATATATATCACAAATATAATGTATAAATGAAATAACTAATACTTAAATTTTAACTTTTATGTTACTATAAGCAGAAATATAAATCCAAAGATATTTTTATATATAATGTTATACATATATCGTAAACCTACTGAAAAATTATATTTGTTAATATGAATTATTTTATATTAATATTTTTATGTTTCAGAAAGTAAGAAAACCGTCGTAAAAATTAAATAAAAAGCTTTTACCAAAAATTCGTATTTGTGCAAATATTGAATAAATTGTATAACCACATTTTCGTATAATAACCAATGCTATACCATTTTGTGTTCTTACAGGAGCTCCAGATTGTCGAACACCACCAACAACTAAAGGACTAGCTACTGTCGACATTTTGTAATATTTTTTCACTTTTGTATAATATTATAATTGAACGACAGTCAAAATTTTAGTTGCCGACAAAACTAATGCCATAAAACGTCTGCGTGTGATTGCTACTGATGATGATGGTCAGTGACGCCTATCGCAGTTATTTCCTTTTACGTACAGGAGTAATATCATTTTTCATTGGTTAGATTCACGTATCAATATTTAATTGGTCACAGAATTGTAGATATAAAAATCTTTTCTATTATATTCTAGAAACATTTTTGTCAGTATATATTTAATATCCACTATAAATAATAAAAATAGAATGATATATCAATACATTTAAAATAAATGTTTAAAATGATTTTATAAATTTCTTGGAAAATCATTTGAATATGTTTAGTGTTACAATCAAATAATATAAAATTTTATATCAAACTGTCAAGTTATAGATTAAAATGTATAATTTACATATTTTAAATATTATTATACTATTAATATTAATTGTAGTGAATGAATAAAACAGATATAAAAATATTATTCATTATTGTGTTACTAAATGTCAAATTCTGTTTTTATAGGTACAATGTGTGAAAGTTGGTAATAATTTGTAACCAAATAATGTAATATAATAGAAGGTTAGTAAAATGTTTAGTAATAAATATTTATTCTTTATTTTAGATAACATGATGTTATATCACTTTATTACGTTATATCAATAACACGTTATTGACAATTTCTTTAAACTAAAATTAAAAAATTCGTGATTGAACATTATAACCTGCTTAAATAAGAAATAAGTAATACATTATTATACTTTAAATAAATACATTTTAGATATGACACTCTTAACGCAATTCTTTAATTGCTCTTTAAAGAAGACTAACTCTCTTGTCAACAGCACTGCTACTAATTTAGGTTTGTAGAAAATAAACATATTTTTATTTTTAATCTTCAATATTTTTCCTAATACAAAAGTAATAAATACTTTAAATTTATATAAAATGGGTGCTTTTTATTTGTGTACTATTCTTTTCAATTTTTATAAATTAACAATTTTTTAATAGTTTGTGTGAGATACGCATCAAAGAAAGCTGGTGGCAGTACACATAACTCACCTGGTAATCGAAAACCAAAACATAGAGGATGGCGAGTACAAGATGGACATTATGTTCAAGAATCTACAATGTTAGCTACACAACTTAGACTTAGATTTCATCCAGGATTATATGTAAGTATAATGATACTTTTTGAAGAATATTTCTTTATGAATGAAAATAACTATGTTCAAATATTTTTATTTGAATATGTGTTATTTGTTTCACAGGTTGGTTTTGGTAAAAATGGTACATTATATGCTTTAGAAAAAGGAAAAGTAGTAGTTACCTGTGAAAAGATTAAGCCAAACATGTCTCGCTCATGGGTTAAAATGAACTATGCAGGTAGAGAAAGCAGTGTTATATATAAAAAATATTTTAATGTTATTCCTGAACCACAACACAATAAATTTGTATTAGTTGATACTCTTTAAATCAACATTTTTTTTTATTGTATTTTGGATTTTAGATGTAAGTCAAAAATATAATAATAAAAACAAAATTGTTATTTTGCTTCTTTCATAAAATTAATTATATATATTACTCTAGTATTTTTAAACATTTTCAAATGCAGCACTTTCTGCCCACTGAAATGATTGGTATCTTATAATGTCTTGATCTTTAGAAAGAAAAGCATATACTTGTGTCTTTCGAACATGGCAAGCAATTCGACACTGGGCTGAAAGGTCAGTTATTGGAATTTCTTCATTTTTATCTTTGCATAAAATTATAAATTGAGAATGGAACATAATAGGATCTCCTACAAAAAGTACAAATAATTAAAATGATTATTTCATTCAGTTACCAATATATAAATAATATATATTTCGTATTACCAGGATATGCTAAAAAGTCTCCTCCAAATTTTTCTCCATTTGTTACATAATATCCTCTTTCCCATAAATCTTTATAAGTTTTATATCGAAGTTGTTGTTTGTAATTGGATGGATATTTCCATTCTACAATTTCTGCATCTTCCTCATATGTCCATGGGTACACTGAAAACATATTTCTATAAGATACCTACAGAATAAAAATAAATATTTTAAATATAATTATGCTGCTGTTGTAGTGTACTACATTACTTTGTTTCGTATCATTTCTTTTTACTTCATAATATTTTTTTCTTTCGTAATATTTATATTTTTTTTTTTTATTTCATAATATTTCTTTCCTTACCTGTATGAGTTTGAATTAGAGCTTCACTTTTATCTAGTTTGGGTAATTTTGCCATTTCTTCTACTAATAAATCTTGTTTATTTATTTCTATATTATTTAGTGCTGCCTGAACTTTCGAGTCCAATGATTTTCTTGCTTTTTTCTTTCTTGTGTCAATTCCAAGTATTTTTCGCTTTTTTCCTTCTATAATTCTGTCCATCATACCAATCACCTATTTGTTATTTTTATTAAATTGTAAAGTTTTAATACAATATTAATATATTTATAAATAATGTTTTTTCAATAACCTGTTTTTGTCTTTCATTCCTTAAGCATTTTTCTTGTTCTGCATATAATGTATTTCTATATTCTTCAAAAGCTTGTTTTAAAGAATCAGATGGTGGTTTTTGAAAACATGAATATTGTATAAGTCGTGCAATATTTTTTTCAAGCAAAAGAGATACTTCTTCTGGCTGTAAAAGTAATGGAAGACCCAAAAGTATATCTTGCCTAGGTTTCTTTGGTAGGCAACCTATGAGCTCACCAGTTATTCGATAATCCTTTCGAAGTTTCAACCAATCTAGAAACAAAATAAAAGTTTACATTAATACATTAATTACAGAAATAAGATTTTTACTTACATACTTTACATACTTTTATCTTAAAAATAATAATAAGACTCTTACCTTCTGCACTCCATACAAAGACATTGTTCCTTGATGAAATTAAATCTATCATTTTTAAAATATTAAAGTTTTGAAATTTTTACAAAAGTGTTTTGCAATTACAATTATTGTAAATATATTTATTTTATATCCACTATTAAAAATTACACTTTGTACGCTATTATAATCAAAATTCTTGTTTATTAACCAATCAAATTAGATATTAAATGCAGATCCCCATACATTAACAACTTCTTAGGAACTTTTGGGATTAATAAACGAAAAAATTCTATTTAGATATTGTATAACTGTATATAATATAATATTATTAAAATATACAGATTATGTTTAAATATTGTTTATCATGATATTATATTCAATTTATTTCATATGCACTATTGTAAATGGTTTTATGAGTTCCTTGATAATATTGATATTTATATATCAATTATCATATTTATGATTAGAGAAAATATTTAGTTATTTATAAAATGGTTAAAATTTTTATAGTTTACTTCATTAATGTTTTAGATCACATTACGATGTTAAACATAGCAAAAATATTTTAATTCAACAGATGTCGCTATTCATCATTTCTGAATAATTATTTCAGGTAGAAGGGGAAGGAAGAGGATTGTCGAACATCTGTCACCAAGCGAAGGCTACGTCCGTTTTAGTCCCAAAAACCGCAATACCGTCATGGCACCCGGTTTTATAATTTTTTAAAGAACGTTCAATATATTTGTAATCGGAGTCGCGTGGAAACGGTGGTTTTTTTTTCTACTCGAACGTTTGTTCATATTTGGTGAGTGATTAAATGATACTGATTATCGTTGTTTACCAATTGCGTAATGAACAAATAAACCGAAATTGAAGGGCAAGCCCTTCAATTGAAGAACTGTCTACTTTCGTGACTAACCTTTAAGTTCAAACGTGCATTCTTCTGTTTTTTCGTATTAGACTTACGTATTTTAATAATGCGTTTTGTGCAGATGTAAAACCTGTTTTGGTTATATATTTATTTTGAATAATATTTATCTTCGTTGAAATACGTTTTTTAATTTTTTACTAATTATGATATAATTAACAGTTACATAGATATTAAATAGAGGTATACCTTTCTTATAATTGTTTACTCAAATATTTGAATAGTATCATTTTTAGATGAAACATACGATGTTACTTTATTAATATTTATTAATAAAACTAACTTTTTTATGTTTTTCATTACTCTGAAATGTTATAGAAATATAATATTTTGTATACTTCTTTTTTCAAGATATAATACAAAAGTAATGATATTTATTTATTACTACAGTATTGGAAACATGAGTTCAGGTAGACCAATCAAATGTGTGGTAGTAGGAGATGGAACAGTAGGAAAAACATGTATGTTAATATCATATACAACAGATAGTTTTCCAGGAGAATATGTTCCCACAGTGTAAGTATTAGATTTGTCTAAATTAAAACATTCTTTGATTGTCTATTATAATAGAAATAAAACTTGTGATGTAATTAGAAGTTATTTAGGAAAACTTTATTTATCTTTCATTTTTGTACTTATTCCTATAATAATTACATATAGAATATCCTTTTAATGCTTACAGAATTTAATTCACTCTACATTATATTTTTACAGTATTCTTTAAATCCTAAGATGTTTGTAAATCTTATTTAAAAAAAAACTTCAAATATAATTGTAGTTCTTTTTATTATACGTCTTAAAATCTTGATTTCATTTAATATTTAATTCTTTAAGCATAAGTGTTATTATTGTACACAGGTTTGATAATTATTCAGCACCTATGGTTGTGGATGGAATACCTGTTAGTCTAGGACTTTGGGACACTGCAGGTCAAGAAGATTATGACAGGCTTCGTCCACTTTCATATCCACAGACTGATGTTTTTCTAATTTGTTTCTCAGTAACAAGTCCTTCATCCTTTGAAAATGTTACCAGTAAGTGGTATCCAGAGATAAAACATCACTGCCCAGATGCTCCAATGATACTTGTTGGAACTAAAATAGACTTACGAGATGATCGTGAGACACTTACTGCCTTAGCTGAACAAGGTCTTAGTGCTATAAAACGCGAACAAGGACAAAAATTGGCAAATAAGGTTAGAATAATTGTTTTTAATTTTATTAAATAAATTTACAAAAATAAATAACAATTTTTTAATAGAGGCCTAATTTCAAATATATTCTATAGATCCGTGCAGTGAAATATATGGAGTGTTCTGCACTCACACAACGTGGTCTAAAACAAGTGTTTGATGAAGCAGTTCGTGCTGTTTTAAGACCTGAACCTCAAAAACGCAGACAGAGAAGATGCATTATGTTATAAACAATAAATATTCAAGTTTCAATATAGGTAAAACCACATATAAACTGACAGACTGAAATTAATTTTCTCACAAACAAAAGGAACAAAATATGAATGTTTTTAAAAAAAGGTAAAAACCATACACATTAATGAATTTTTCTGGCAGCTGTAATTTACTGCATCATAAATGAAGTACAATTTGCAGCTTGTGTTTTTCTTCTTTTTTTTATGTATATACAAGCTGTAAGACTAATATAAGACTAGAGATTTAACAAGAAAATTTGATACCATTATAATTTTTAGCTAGTACTTAATATATAATCAAGTAAAAGTAATTACAAATTTGTGTCAAAATAGTGGATTCAACTTAATTTTATTCATTAATGTACTAGTCATGTACTAATGTACAGAATCCTATTATTTGCCATTATTTTTTGTTTTCATAAAATAACAATGTTATTCATTTTAATATACTGTTTTAATTAATGTCGAGACAAAAGTAACGTATTACAACAATTTAGAATGTTGATTCTTTAAACTTTGATCAAAAAAAGCTGCCAGATTTCTAAATTTTTATACCTATGATAGTAAAAACATTCATTTAGTATACACATATGATAGGTATAACGATCAATATACTAACAATTTTTATAAAATGTAAAATAGCATTATAGAATTATTTAAACAGACAGTGCCATAGCAACGAAGAAAAAATCAAATCAATGAAACGAACATTTTTTATGTCAGTTCTAGACAATATATGTATGTATTTTTTAAATCTCATATTAGAAAACATAAAAAAGGATGTAAAGGAATTGAAGAATTTCATAATAAGAAATATTTTGTATTTATCTTAAAATTTTTGATAAATATTACAATTGTAATATTTCTTTATACTTTATCAGACAAATACATTGTGCATAAAATACTGCCAATAAATATTCATATACGTTCTGTGCATAGCAAATATAATAGCTTTATATGGCACATTTTATTGTCTAGAATTTGAACATTTTTCTTATGAGTACATAATACAAAACACATCATAATGTATTATGTACATATTGATATTTATTTTATTTTGGATATATATTGAGTAATCATACTCTAAGAAAAATTTATTAGAAGAATACTTTAGACTATTTTTTATCAAAAATTGTATTTTTGTTGTTGCATGTGGCAGATACAATTTTGCAGATTGTTACACTGGTGCAATCTGATTAACGAAAGGCTCTAAATTATTTTTCATAAAAACTAAAGAGTGCATTGTGAAAAGAATAATCAAAATATATATTGAATTATGTAAGAAAATATGATACCAGTAAAAACATATGGTGCAAAGTATGCCTATAATACAGAAAACATAGCACAACTTACTTTAAAGAGTGACTATGACAGTTTTAATCTTACGTTACTATTTTTATGAAATTCATTTACATCAATTTTCATATTTGGGAAATTAGTGTCACATTTATAAGAACGAATATATTGTATAGAACAAATATTCTTTTTTCACTTCTATGGGTAAAATTATTTACACATTCATATTTAATTTATTACTATGAATTTTTTTCTTATTATACTGTAACATAGTTCGTTTATGTTTTATAATATTATAACATTATTTCGATAAATATTACATGCTCTCTATAATAGAACTTAATAAAAAAATAGTGTGATGATGACTAACTGATATTCCACCACTTGTGAACATGCTATTTTTTTATATTTGGAAGAAAGCTTAGAGTATTGAAAAATAGGACATGTGTGCCATATGCTTTCAAATTTATAGAACAAATATTGAATTTCATACCTTATTTTTATTTGTACTCAATGTGCATTTCAAACGAATTAAAGATACTTCACATATTTAAAAAGAAAAAAATTCCTAGTGTAAGTGAGGATGAACTAAGAATGAGGCATATTAATGCTTGTTAAGTGTACATACTGTAGCATAGTGATAACATGCTCTAAATTTCAATCTAACTTTAAAAATACTATAACCTTTCTCCTTTTTTGATATATTTCAGTATGTACACAACCTATTATTAACATAATTACTCATGTGATTGAAGTATAGAGTGTGTCAAAATGTTTGCAGTAAGCTTTTTTACACTTTGTTATGTGCTATGATCTTGATCAACACACTTATTTTTGGTATCTTTTGCAATATTTTATAAATGTATGTTTTAGTTAACAGTACATTTGTAGTTTCTGCATAAAACAATTATTTCTCTGATACTTTAAAAAGCACAATTGAAGACATTATCACTACTACTAATATTGTTCTACTACAGACTTAAGTCTAGGAATTTTTTATATTATGTACATACGTACATAAACAATACATTTATTATACAAAATAATCAAATATTAGCAGCGTGTTATATAGTAATTGTACGTAAAGTTTGCATTTATTGTAAGTAGTGCATTTATTTTACGTTTATTATTAAAGATAAAGTTTACTACACAAAAATTAATTGAAAATAAGACTAAAACAAAGCACAATTTTTAAAATAATATTTAAATGGTATTTAATTTTTAAGATTAATACGAGGAATTTTTTTGCAGTATTATAATGTAAATAAAAATTTTAATCTATTACTCCAAAATTTACTACTTGAACCTGAAATTTTTCTTGTATACTATATTTAAACTGATATATATCTACAATTTACTATAATAAGAATGATTAATTGTAGCTTCATCTTAAGTGAAAAAAAAAATTAAATTCAAGCAGCTAATATAAAATGTGCAAGTAAAATATTCTTTAATATGTATATATGATATTTCTTTTTTAGTAAATAGTATCAAAGTTGATAAATGTTTGTATTGATAACATAACTGTGTATCCATGCAGGTTGGTAAGATGAATTACACTACTTACAACTTGTGCATTTAATGAAAAGTATTTAATAATGACTTTCTCCCTTCTTTTAAAACAAGAGAGTAACAGTAAGGAATGCTACAAACCAAAGTTGAATGTTACTTTTATTGTAACACTTATAATCTTTATTACGTATTATTGCATATAAGTATAGAAGAAATGAATGTATGAAGTGTAAAAATATTCTAGTCACCAAAAATCTGATTTTATTTGTAAATGACGTATTTTATTGAAATTTATATTCGATTTACATTTTATTAATAAACATTTTTTATTGAAAAGTGGAAACAATCAAACTGAAATGATAAAATGAAGAACATGAAAGTATTGATCTAATTTAAGATATTGTCAATTTAAATAAAGCAAAATAAACCAAACCAGGAGGATAAGAAAACATTGAAATACAAATGTATGTACATGTATTAACTAAATTTAATCGTCTGTAATTTACAAACAATATTTATCTATTTTTTTTTTATTTTTGTAAAGTTTCTAATTTCTGTACTAATAAAACAGCACAGGAGATTATTATGTTAATACTTGTTTGTATAATTCAGTATAATTAATAATACTGAAAAAATTTATCCAAATTATGTTATTATATTGTATAACAATTGAACTTCCATCAATAAAATGATAATATTCATTGTATTTTCATAAATGAACTCTTTTGCTGTTAGTACAAAAGTGGATATAAAGATAAAAATTAATTTTAACTGTCCTATTTTCTTATGGGAAATTGAAATTATCGTGTTGAATAATAATCAAAATGTAACTATATAAATGCATGTTCTACATACCACTTGGAAGCATTTATTTTTATTTATGTGTATTTTAAAAAGAACTTCTTAAAATAAAGTACACAATAAGCAATGTTTAATTTTTAATTAAGATCCCCTATTTAAAGTTTAACCTTTTTTATAAATTAAAATTTTTTAAATATTATATTTAAAAAATATTGAAGTGGAAATAATTATAATGATTTAAAATACTTTTAATATGAATAAATTGAAATATTTTTAATTTGTTTCCTTTTAATCATTCTATAAACAATTTATATAAGGTGATAGTTCATTATATTTAATATTAACTTGAGATAGTAATATTTTTAATGAGAAAATAATCTAAATAAAACAATATTGTTACTAAAATATATTTAAAAACGAAGGGAGGGGGGGGGTGATTTATCTTATAAAAACACAAAGTAATAAAAGATTTCATGGGATTTGGTTATTAAAAAAATTGAATTTTAGCGTGAACAATGTATTAAATAAAAATGGAACAACACAAAAACGAACTCTAAAATAGTATTTATATTTACAAAATTTTTTAATATTTTACAACTATTAAAAAAAGACGAAACTTCTGTAATAAGAAATATTACATTGATTGAAATTCATTAATATTAAAAATTCAAAAATATATATATTTTAGATAAATTTCGATATAATAATACAGTATAAAACAAATGTGAAATTTGAAAGGAATGGAACAAAAAGAATACATCATTTTAGAAAAATTTATTACATTACAAATGATTAGATCTCTGTTTCTTATAATTTAAAATAATTTAGGTTCATTTAGTTTAAGCTATATTATTGCAAGTATACATAACCTTCAGTTCTTAAAACATATAATTTTAAATAATGTTACATAGGACAATTTTAAATATTGCACGAACAGTATGTATAAATATGAAAATATTTTATACATTGGAAAATGTACAATGGTTTAATCCTAGCTATAATTTACGTGTAAATTTTTTGTATCCTCAACAAAACCTTAATTCAACAATATTCGTAAGAGCTAAGAGTCAAGGCAAAATTTTCTCTAAGGTAAGACAATTTTATTACATTTTACAATAGTATTGTATTACACAAAATAAATGTCTTTCAATTATAAATTTAATATATATATATATTTATATATATATTTATGGTAGCATGTAACATTTCGAGATATTGTCGTTTAAAGTTTTGAACATTATTCTTCTTACTAGCATTAAATTAAATTGTATAATTTATTTTGAGATATAAAATTAATTCAATTAATAAATAAACTAGAATTTTTGGAAATTGTGATATGCAGCGTTTTTTCTCATAACTGAAAATATGACATTGATAATTGTTATTGTTTATATTTCGAATAAATTGTCAATGTATTCATTTAATTTGTTATGTTTTTTACGTTAAATTATACAAATTAGTGATAAATTTTGGTTAAACAAAAAATAAATAGTATCAATTCAAAATATTTAATCAACGTTATTTTTAGAATGCCTAAATGTTTGGGATATACAATTAA